CGGAGGTGCACTCTTGGCGACAACAACTCGTAGTCCCTTTGTGCCTGATTTTGTGTATCAAAAATGAACAAGTGAAGTAAAGATTGGATTCATTTCCACTGACGACTGCGACTCACCATTCTGCTAGACACACGCAAATAAAACACACAAACAAAACGAAAAAAAATAAACAAAAATTGCAATTGGAAGATGAGTTTATTTGCCACTGGTTATGGTTGTGCTTGATGTGAACTGAAGCGACTTCTAGTTGTATCGGGCCTATTTATAGGAGGCCCATTGACCAGAAAACAGCTGGGCAACGTTGGCGTCATCATCGTCAACGCCGTCAACGCCGTCAACATCCTCCCTCCACTCTGCTCCACAGTGTCTCTGTCTCACAATCCAATCCGGGCCTGGGCTTGGGCTGTTTGTTGACAAACTTGGTACCCGAGTCGGAACTACTTTTGTTGCTTTCCGACTGCTCGTTTTGTTGTTTGCTGTATCTTTGCGGCACATTCAGTGATTGAGCCAGTCGGCTCACTCACTCACTCGTTATTCGTTTGGGTGCTATCATCGGGTGCTATTTTTAAGCGCGTACTTGACAACTTTTGCTCCCCACTCTGGCCCAGCCATGAGCCAAGCTGTGTGCGTGGGCCGTAGAATGTCCTAGAAGGGCATCTAAGTTGAGCTTTGACTTGAGCATTCCTCAGTTAAGTCTTAATTGCAGAAAGTAGAATCCAATCGATTGGTTCCTGCCTAAAATGTTTGCTAATCTCTCCATTAAAATTTGTGCTATTTAGAGACAGTTTTTGGGATTCTTAACCACATTTCAAAGCACATTTTGCTTCATCGGATAAGTAGATACAGATACAGATACAAATGCACCCACAATATGGTAATGAAAACAAGTCGGAGAAGCGTATTATATAATCTCGTGTGTCAGTTTAGCTACATTTCGATCCGTTAACAAATTATTTGCCCACATTCCATTCCCAACTTAATTAACTTTTGAATCCAAAATGGAAACTGTCGGAAATGTGATGTGTGAGAGGAAGCATATAGAATTTCTCATTTCCGTCGGCCCAACAAAACGCAACAAATAATTTGAATATCAATTTCCACTCAAAATGTCAGGCCATAAATGTTGATGGTAATTCCATTCCATGAAGTTGTGCACAAATCGTTAAGAAAAATATTTCATTAATGATTACTTAGTTATTGTTAAAGTAGATTCAGATCCGACTACCCACAGGCCCAATTAAATTTAACATTTCTACCTGTCCGTCTACCTGTCCGTCTACCTGTCCGTGTACCTGTACGTGCACGTGTATGTCTCTGTGTGTGTGCAGATTTCAGGACTCAGTTCTAGCCGTGTGTTCAGAGCTAATAGCCTGGGTGGGTCACCCAATTGATTTCCATTTGGCCGCATTTGTCATCCGAAGTGAATCGATATGGGGGATATTATAAATTGAACTGACAATTGCAAAGTTTCCTTAACTGCAGAGTGGCACCGGCGGAGATTACAGGCATTGGGCTGGATGGATTTTGGGCCAATTGCCTATAATTGAATGAAAATTGACTTGTCCGTTTGCCGTCGTTTGTGGCGTCGGCACCTGGGAGCTGACAGGCGGCTGCCATGCTGCCATGCTGCCAGGCTGGCAGGCTGGCAAATTTAATTATGCCCTCCTGGTCGAGCAAATCTTTTGGCTTACGCAGCTCATTTGTCAAATGCTCAAGGTCGCGACAGGCTGTCCTGATGGATCAGTGGACCCCATTTCTTTTCCTCTGTTCCTCTTTCTGTTTGCTGTTCATAATTTATGCCGCCCAATATCAATCATATTCAATCATGATGGACTGCGTCTTGCGTATTGGCCTATTCTGCTGCGTATCTAAGCTTACCCAAAGCCCATTCCCATTCCCATTGCCATTGCCATTGACAAATGTTATATAATCAATTTGGCATTATTAATTTGAATACACGCCACCTGTGAGCCAGCCACAAACTCCCAAATGGATGCTGGATGGCGTCTCTAGGGGGCTCTGGTCAGTGAAACAGGTTCCCCCAGCGACAAGGAACAGAGAAGCAGAGAAAGTCGCAGCTGTTGATACTCTTTGTTTGCATTGGGGCATACAAAACTGCAAATAACTGTAAGGCTCATGTGAGAATCTCTAACGCCGCGCGCTGCAGTGCAAGCCATCAACTTGCTCTCTCGTCGTGCAGGTAGAAAAGCGCTAGAGGGAGATGGCAACATTTGTTTGTTGTTGCTGACAAACGGTTGGCACGCAAAACGCAAAAGAGAGCGTGGGAGGTGAAGAGCGAGAGCGCAGTCAGCTCATAGAAAATAGCACCACTGCATTGGTATAAGTGAGCGTGAATTCTGTGTGATGCAGAAATGCAGAGTCAGCAATTTGGGCAGCTTACTGATCCCCGCACATACAAGAGCCAAAGCATGCAAAAAAACAATTGCTGAGCTTAAATGTATATTTTTTTATGTATTTGGAATACCAAAAGTATATCCAGCGTTCAGAGGACTCTGTGAAATTGAACATAAACTTTAGTAGACCAGAAAGTGTGCGTAGATTGGATGTTTTTGAATACACCGATAGGAGCCACCTTTTGAGGGTGGTTTAATTTCCATTCGAATCGATTAAGTGGGTACCAGCAGTGGTGTGAAATATACGAGGGGCGAGAAGGCGCAAAAACTTTTTCGGTCTAATTTGCAGCAATTTGCATAATTTGCGGTTAAAGGAACGAATTGATACTCGCACGATGGATGGATGGGCATTTTGGCTGATGTGTATAAAAGGGTCGGGCCCAGCTGTGGCCTGTTCAAAGTACTGGACCCGGGACGGCATGCGGCAGGTGGACTCGTCGAGCGCCTTCAGATATCACTGGCGGATATGGCGACTGATTGGAGCGCATCCGGCAGACCCGCACACGTTGTGGGGTCGCCACTACACAGTCTATGCGACAGTGTGGAGCATAATCTTTCGGCTGGGCATGTGGCTCTCGGTGGTGGTGAACTTTATGCTGTCGACGTCACTGGAGTCCTTCTGCGAGAGCCTCTCGGTGGCCGTGCCCCTGACAGTCGAGAATCTGAAAATGTTCAGTCTGTGGCGCATGCGGCGGGAGATTCTGCGCACCCACGAAATCCTGCATCATCTGGATGGCCGCATTGGTTCACTCACCGAGCAGAAAATCATTCTCGAGGGCATTGAGCGGGCTAAATATATATTTATGTGCATTTTCCGTGCGATCGCCGTGATCCTATCCATCGCCATTCTGTTTCTCTTTGTGTCGAAGGAGCGGCTGCTGATGTACCCCTCCTGGATACCCTGGGACTACAAGACATCCTCCTTCACCGTCTACTTGGTGACGGTCATGCTGCACAACATCGGCTTCTTTGAGAACGCCATGATGGTGGGCAATGTGGACACCTATCCGGGCTCCTGTCTCATCATGCTGGCGGCCCACACCCAGGCACTGGCCCATCGCGTCTCTCGCCTTGGTCATGATCCGCCTGTGACGCGGTATCAGTGCTGCGCTCAGCTGCGCCGCTGCATAGACGATCATCAGATCATTATGACGTGGGTAGTTGCTGTAGATCCGGGGTCGGCAGGTAGCAGGCACACGACGAAGACACGAAGTCAAAAACGTTTCTTGCTTCTCTGCCGCTGCGGCGGCTCTCTCGAATCCACACGAAGCTTTTGCGCTGTGCGTGCGCCGACTGCGCTGCCCGAGAGCTTTTTCTGTGCACGCTGCCGGCCTCTGCTGTAGCTGTAAAACTCGACTTGCTGTTAATCCTCTCAACACTTTTAGTCTCTTTCAGTCATTGGAGCACTCATTCTCCATGTCCTGCTTCCTGCAGTTCTTCAGCACGGCCAGCGCCCAGTGTTCCATTTGCTTCTTCCTCATCTTTGTGCGGATCGGCATTATGCAGTCCGTGAACATGCTATTTCTTTTCCTCACCTTCACCATCCAGACCCTGCTGCTCTGCTACAGCGCCGAGCTGGTCTGCCACGAGGGCGAGAGTCTGATGAGAGCCGTCTACGATTGCAATTGGCTGGATCAGTCGGTGGAGTTTCGTCGCATGATCATCCTCATGTTGGCTCGCAGTCAAAAGCCGATGATTATGCGTGCCGGCGTTTTTGTGCCCGTTCAAATGAACACCTTCAGGATGGTGAGTACATTATTTTAGGGTCTTTCTCATCACACACTAACCCACTAACCCAGCAACCACACATATATTGCGACAGGTGTGCAAGGGCGCCTACAGCATGCTGACACTGCTGAACGAAATGCATAACTCGGCAGACGGTTAGAGGCGAAGCAAACACACACAAAATATGAGCAAAAAAAAAACGGTTCAATAGAGCTTTAGCAACGTAGAAAACGGTTTCTCGATTGGTTCTTTGGCTGAAGAAGGATATGGGCATGGGGGGGGGATCCTTAACCGGATTTCCATTCAGGAAGTGTGCATTATCGCTGCTTATCTCTTCGCCAGTGTTTGCCCTTTTTATTTATTACTGCATAATCCAGTGGCTCGTTTTTAAATGCTGTCTGTCACCTGAACCACAAAATGCGCAACGGCCTGCAACCACTGAAGCTCCTTAATAGACGTTTTAATTAACTGCGAGCAAAGGTGCAGGAGGGAATGGATATTCCCTCTTTATTTTATTATATTTGCCAGACAAAAAAGAAAATACTCGGAATACAATTAAATGACAGCGCGAGCAGCGCTTAATTTGGTTTCATTCCTGGGCTCTGTGGCAATCGATGGCCAAAGCTCACATAAGTCACTTAATGGGCATGCGATTAACGATTTAAACTGCTTAAATGATGTGCAATACTCGTACACAAGAGTAGCTGTCGATTGCCAAATGGATTTTGAGTATTACTCAATTGAAATTGCAAAGAAGCCTTGAACTGATTGAAGCTTAAAGCAAAAACTACACAAAACCCTACACCTTCTTGTTTTGAAAGACACACCACAGCATACATCCGGGCATAATTTTATTAAACATACCAAAACACACAAAAAAAAAAGGAGGGAAAACCATAAAATTATAATACAAAATGAATTGTTTTAATAGCTAACAAAGGGTAACCGCATACATGTGTAAATGTAATTGATTATTTGGCGAGTCTATTGGAAAATGTAACAAATATTTGCACACACAAAAAACCAACGCGAAAGTTTTTGGCAGAGGAGCAAACAGTGTTCGAGTGGGAGCAGTAAAAATCGATGTGAGTTCGCGTGAATAAAACCCCGCAGCTGCAAGGGCCTCCTGTTTGCTGCTCCTTCTGCTCAATCCGTTGTCCGGTGTCATCTCATCGAGTTGCTTTAGGGATATTTGACAATATTGTTGCCGCCACCTGCTGAGTGTCCTCCACTTGTTGACTGCTGCTTGGGGCTTGTTGCTGCACTTCCGACACCCACTCCAGCTCCAGCTCCAGCTCCTGCTCCTGCTGCTGCGACTATTCCTCCTTTTGTTGCTGCCGTGGCTGCCCCTGCCCCTGCCGGGTGATACAAATGCGTGCCATAATGCACGGCACCCGGATGGCTGAAATATGGTATAATGGCTGGTGAGGCGCCAGTCATGCCAGGCACTGTGGTGGGCAAGGATACGGGTCCAGGAAGTGGAACTTCTTCGTGGCCATACGGCATATGCGATACATATTGATGCTGCTGCTGCTGCTGCGGGGCATGATAAAGTTGCTGCAGCAACGGCACTGAGCCCGGCTGATAGTGATGGAAATGGTGGAAGGGCACGGCTCCGTGCCCATGCCCATGCCCGTGGCCGGGAGCGCCAGCCGCTGACAATCTGACAACATGAATCGGTGGCGTTGATTCATGCCCCAGATTGTAAGCGGCCTTTGGGTTATTATTGCTAAAACGTGGCAGTATGGCAAATTGATGCTGCTGCAGCTGAAGCTGATGATGTTGCTGCTGCTCGGCGGGTGCCTGCACGTAAATTGGATTGTAGTGCACGACGGGCAAGTGCTGTGCGGTAGGACGCGTTGGCGTTGCCGTCTCTGCTGTTGTTGCTGCCACATCTCCCGATGCTGCTGCTGTTGCTGCTGTTGGCCCTGCTGCCACGGAGTCCGTTGCTGGTGTGTACTTCAGTTGCTGCTGCTGCTGCTGTTTCAGTCGCTGCAGCGGATATGCTGAAAGAAACAACAAAAAGCGTTCAACATCACTCTCAATGGGCCATCCCTGGGCATTTTTGCAGTCTGTTCAATTAGCGCCACTAATTGCCCACGATGTGCCGATGTTCTGCCATTTTGTTTGGGTCAAAGTACAGTTCCGTTGTGGCAACTAATCAGAAAAGGGCATGCAAGCAGGAAGCTGCAGGCTGAATGATGACTACAAGAGAGAGGTACAGTCGCTGCCATGGAAGTACAGTCTCTGCAGCAGTTCCTGCTGCTTGCTCTTAATATTAAAGCTCTTAAAGTACAGTTGTGCTCGTTTTTTGCTTACCATACAAAGGGCCGCCTGGCTGTTCGGCATAGATAGCTGATGTCTGTGCCTGCGGTGGTTGCAGAAAGATGCGCTGCAGCTGCAGCTGTGGGTGGTGCTGTGGTGCCTGTGGCTGTGGCTGATAGATGAGCTGCTGGTAGCTGGGTGGTGGTGGTGGTGGTGCAGCTTTCGCATAGACCGACTGCTGCTGGGACTGCTGCTGATGCTGCTGTTGCAGCTGTTGTGCGGCGGCCAGCAGCAGGCTGGCTGGTATCTGGAAATATTGCTGCTGTTGGCTGGGTGGATTTGGTCCAGCTGGGGTGCCGATGCCTGTGAGTGGTGCATTCGAGGCGTCCGACTGATAGTAGGGCCTGTACAAGCCCTGATGATCACGTGCCAGCGGTCCAAGCAGCTGCATAAAGGATTGATGGTGCCTCGGTACAGGCGCTGCCGTTGATGGTGGTGCAGCGCTGCTGCTGGTCGTGGTGGTGGTGCTGCTGCTGCTAGGGCTGGCGGATGCTGTGGGTGGCGCCACCTGTAACTGATGTTGCTGCTGCTGCTGCTGTTGCTGCAGCTGACGCATGTAGGAGAGTGGAATGGCAATGATGTACTGCACACGTGGCTGCTGCTGCTGCTGAGGAAACTTGTGCTGATGGTGGACTGGCAAAGTGAATTGATATTGCTGCGGTCCCGCCCGCTCATAGATGGCGCCACCCTCGGCTTCCACTTCGCCGTAATGGAAAGTCTCCCGTTGTTGTTGCTTCTGCTGCTGCTGCTGCTGCTCCGCTCCTAATGAAGCCGACTTAGTGGCGGCTGGCCGCTGATAGAGCTCCACTTGCGGTGGCGCGGCAAAGCCGAAGCGATGCCCCTGCTGGGCGAACTGCACCGAAGGCTTATGCCCAGCACCGGACGGTGCATATCGAATGCCGTGGCCACTCTCTGGCTTATCGTAGTAGGTCTGCAGAGTGGAAGTGGAAGTGGAAGTGGAAGTGTTGCGTTAATTAAATGCATGCCTGATGGGCGTCTGCTGGGGCATATGTACCTGCGGTGCCGCCTCCGCTGCCGTGTAGCGTACGGTTGTGGGTCCAAAGATTTGGGTTGGCGCCTCATAGTAGCTGGCCGACGTATAAACGGGCCGGAACGGTGTCTCCTTTGTGGGCCTGCCCGGAAAGATGGCTCCTGTGGAATGGTTGGATAGAAACTCGCTCCTCAATGGCTGCACAGCTGGGAGTTTACCTGTCTGATCCGCTGAATCACGTTTCTCCGTTTTGCTCTTGGCATCCTCTGTGAGGCTGGGCGTCAGCTTGGTGGTGACTGCATCCTCGATTTTGTCCGCGGCAGCCTTCGGCGTCAGCGTCTCGAGCTCCACGCCGCCGCTGACCGCCACGAGGCAGTACCCGATGACAGCCAGCACCTGGCGGATGGGAAACCAAACAAAATATTTCATTATATTATTATTAATCATATTTAAACAAACAAACAAATCAACTTAAATATTAATTTGCAATTTCATTTCTCTCTCTCTCTCTCCCTGTCTCTTTCTTGCCATATTTATCGTTCATTTGGCGCATTACATGTCAGGATAAGGAGCTTGATTACAAATATTTGCGCAGTAATTTAATAATAATTTAATTGAATTGATTTATAAATGCAATTATACCACACACAGCATGCAACGGGCTGCGATTGTTTGCCGCTTTTGTGGCCCATTATTGCTATTATTATGACACGGCACACACGATTAATAACTAATAATTATGCTCTGTACCCGGGCGCCAGCAGTTGTACAATGAACCCACGCCACACAAGAGGTAATTATTTCCCACATTTAAGCTTTCAGTGCAGTTTCAGGCTCAAGTTCCTCTTTAAATGCCACAAGAAATCGCACTTAACGGCGTTCTAAGCTTTTACTTCGGTTGCTCTCTTTCTTGCGCTCTCATCTGAATTCCAAATTCGCCCTCCCCTTCGCACGTTCTGGCTGTGCGCTCTCCACGTAGCGAATTCGCCCCCGCTGGCTCTCGCTTTGCCTTCTCCTGTTGCAGTTGAAGTTCCCCTGTGTGCGAATTCGCCTAAGATCGCTCTCCCCTCCATGACTGGAGTAAGCATGGCTGCGAATTCGCCCTCGCTCGTTTTTGCTGTGCCTAGGGATCAGTGTTGCGCACAAAGCAAAATCTGCTGATGCTGTTTAACTTGTATGCACCATAATTCCATTTGCTGTCGGAATCTGGATTACGGACATAATCGAACAAAAAGGACACTGTAGATTACGATGCAGCAAAAACTGATTGTTAATTAATACACCGCTTATCTGTGTCTGTGCCATTCAGTCGCGTGGAAATGATCAAAAAATAATCGAGACACCACACAAACACACATATTATCATGTCCATTTGATAGGAGCAAACATTCGGTTAGCTCGCTGCCAATTATTAAGTATATAAATTCTAAATTCGCCCTCCCCTTCGCACGTTCTGGCTGTGCGCTCTCCACGTAGCGAATTCGCCCCCCGCTGGTTCTCGCTTTGCCTTCTCCTGTTGCAGTTGAAGTTCCCCTGTGTGCGAATTCGCCTAAGATCGCTCTCCCCTCCGTGACTGGAGTAAGCATGGCTGTGAATTCGCCCTCGCTCGTTTTTGCTGTGCCTAGGGATCAGTGTTGCGCACAAAGCAAAATCTGCTGATGCTGTTTAACTTGTATGCACCATAATTCCATTTGCTGTCGGAATCTGGATTACGGACATAATCGAACAAAAAGGACACTGTAGATTACGATGCAGCAAAAACTGATTGTTAATTAATACACCGCTTATCTGTGTCTGTGCCATTCAGTCGCGTGGAAATGATCAAAAAATAATCGAGACACCACACAAACACACATATTATCATGTCCATTTGATAGGAGCAAACATTCGGTTAGCTCGCTGCCAATTATTAAGTATACATTTTTGTAATCCTATTTTGCATTATTCACCCGTATGAGCGCCATTATGCCAGTTGTTGGTTTTTGCTTATGAACAGCAATACAATTTTCTGTTGATTAACACTTTTTTTTCTTCTGTTTTGTTTGCCACGTAATTTTCTTTTCCTGCCGTCACTCTATTAAAATTCGCTTTTTGCACAACAAACANTAAGCTTTTCCTTCGGTTCCTCTCTTTCTTCTGCTCTCTCTTGAATTCCAAATCCGCCCTCCCCTCCCCCCGTTCTGGTTTGCCGCTCCCCCCGTGGCGAATTCGCCCCCGCTGGCTCTCGCTTTGCCTTCTCCTGTTGCAGTTGAAGTTCCCCTGTGTGCGAATTCGCCTAAGATCGCTCTCCCCTCCGTGACTGGAGTAAGCATGGCTGTGAATTCGCCCTCGCTCGTTTTTGCTGTGCCTAGGGATCAGTGTTGCGCACAAAGCAAAATCTGCTGATGCTGTTTAACTTGTATGCACCATAATTCCATTTGCTGTCGGAATCTGGATTACGGACATAATCGAACAAAAAGGACACTGTAGATTACGATGCAGCAAAAACTGATTGTTAATTAATACACCGCTTATCTGTGTCTGTGCCATTCAGTCGCGTGGAAATGATCAACAAATAATCGAGACACCACACAAACACACATATTATCATGTCCATTTGATAGGAGCAAACATTCGGTTAGCTCGCTGCCAATTATTAAGTATACATTTTTGTAATCCTATTTTGCATTATTCACCCGTATGAGCGCCATTATGCCAGTTGTTGGTTTTTGCTTATGAACAGCAATACAATTTTCTGTTGATTAACACTTTTTTTTCTTCTGTTTTGTTTGCCACGTAATTTTCTTTTCCTGCCGTCACTCTATTAAAATTCGCTTTTTGCACAACAAACAAAACAAACAAAACAAACAAAAAAATACAACAATTCGTGCACAAAAAATGCAACTGAAAACCAACAAATGAAGCACTTTTCACAGTTATAAAATAATTATAAAGGATTTTTGTGTGTATTTTATTTGTTAGCCAAACTAAACGAAAATAAAATAAAACTGTAAACGCATTACAGTCGCGCCCCGTCTCGACGTTGGCAGCTCGCGTGTTGGCTAACAAAGTGAGAGTGAAATTGGTTCGCCAGCTTTGTGGCATTTTATACTGCTGCAAGTGGCAGAGGCAGAGGCAGAGGCAGTGGCAGTGGCAGTGGGCACCACAGACGGGGGCAAGCACCTGGCGGTGTCGCTGCAAAATCCAGCTGAGCCATTTGGGGAGCAACAGCTGCAGGCACCATCGTGGCCATTAACCGATTACCATTAACCATTTACAGATGTGGATAGCCAGACCCAGACCTTGCACATTGTCAGTGTCCTTTTTGGACTGGCCACAACTGCATTTGAAGCTGTTTTCAGCTGAATCGTGCGTGTTGTGCACTTGTCTGCTTCCTACAGTCCCACCGTCAATGCCTCATTAGATGCACACTAATTCTGCATATTACAATTAACGATGAGCCCCAATTGGCATTAATTTTGCACTCATTACGGCTGCGGGTAGGGCAGGGCAGGGCAGAGCAGGGCCAGTTCCCCCTTTTTTTTGTTGTTGTTGCTGAACGAACCGTTTACAACGGACGATGATTTTACGAGTGTTGCCTAATAAAATCAAGTGGCTTTCCGTAAAACTTAACTGTTACTTCAGCAATAACAGCAAACAGAACAGCATTACATTTCCCCCCGTTAGCTTTACCTTGCATGCCCCCACCCCCACCCACACCGCCACACCCCCGCCAAATGTCGAATAAAAATCCCCACCCCCTAATTGACATCAAATGTGTGAGTGTGCGGCAAGTTTAAAGTAACCCCCCGCCCGCCCGCACACAGTCTTTAGCCTTCGTTGCGGCCCGGAAATAAAGAATATGCCGAGTGGATGTGAAAGTGCCAGGGCAGTGGCTGTGGCAGTGCTTAAAGGGCTTACTTACGGTTACCCCACACACCGTGACTGAGATCCTGCACTGCCCTTTCTTGCAGCGAAACATTCATTTAATTGTTCTACGGGGTGCTGTGCGGGTACTAGCAAGCTGCCAGGTTGGACACCAAGAAGTGTTATAATTAGTAGTATAACAACAGGGACTTGCTGGAATGACGTGTGATTGGAGCAGAGGGGGGGCAGCATCGTATGCACATTTCAGGCAGCGTAACGGTGCTTGTAAACGGTGCATCGCATGCACGTTGAGCTTTGTGCGCTTTGTTTACACGCTACAGCAAGCAGCTTTGATCAGACAGAGGGCAGCGTGAGAGCGGCATGCTAAAGCTTCGGCCCATGCAAAGAGAGAACAGCCGCAGCGGCAGAGAAATATCTTCGTAGCTGTCGCAGCGGCAGAGAAGCAAGAAACGTTTTTGTGCAAAGCTTCACCCAAATCGAGAGAGTCTCTTCCTGGTTGCTGATCGCTCTGTGTCAGTTCTCTCTTTGCGACTACCAAAAGTAATGTACGACCATCCCACGTTTCCATGTTTGCTTAGCAGCTTTAAAGCGAGTCCATCAAATATGCATGTATTCCTGGAAAGAGTGTGCGCGTAATCGAATTGCATCTAAAACAATCCAATTGAATTGCGACACAAAACCAAAATGTGTAGCCACAAATAATTGCATCAGACTCGGCATAATGAAATGTTTTAATTTGTTCAGCGAAATAGCAACAAATTGGCATGCCAGCGCTTACAAATGTATTCTACGAATTCATGATGGCAGATGCCTGGGTTCTGCCATCAAGCCAATATCGAGTATCAAAGCACAAGTGATGGCAGTCTGTCATTTGGGTTCGGCATAATTTATGCACAGCAAATAATTAGGGTTGCAGGGGGTGCTGGTGGGAGGGGGGGGGGGGGGCTTCCAGTTCCAGTTCGAGTTCCAGTCCCAGGAAATGGCGATGCGTGCACAAACAGACTTATGCAATCCACAATCGAAACTAAATCAGTGCGACCGAGTCAATTGGAACGGGTTTGTCGGTGGGCGATTGGAGGAAGTACCCGAGTAGATCTCCTGGTCAGCGCCAATTATTGTCACGGAAATGCGCCTCAGGTTGTCGCATCTTGGCTGAAATGCTGCAGCACTCCCTCTCTGAACTGGTTTAAGTGCATTTTGGGGATCTTCCAGCCCGACTTACGCCACACTCTGCGGATAACTAACAAATATTTATTTACACATTAAAGCATTGTTTAGTGGCACTAATTGAACATTTCTTTAAACATTTTTCAACTAATTTAACTCATTGTAAGCTATATTAAAACGCTATTAGCCATAACCATCAAGAAAATACAAATAAAATGCTACACTTTCCAACACTGTTTGGTGTTTGGTGTTTGTGGATGGCCGCCACCCAAGTGTGGCGCTCCATGTGCACAAAGGTGTGCCAAAAAGGGATCAAAGTGGGATCAAATGAATAATTGTTTTTTCTTATAACACAAATATTTGCCAGGGCCTGCTGGTAATCTCAAGTTGTTTTCGTTTTCGGCTGCTTGTAAACTTTTGTACACAAATATTATGCACATATATATTTGTGTTTAGTGTAAAACCTGAAGAGCAATTCGGCAACGCAGCGCCTCGGGCGGAAGCGTCCAACCCGCCGGAGTGGTTTGTCAAGCCAAAGCTGAGCAAAGTCGTGTGGCAGCCGCCCCAAAACAGTTGAAAGCAAAATTATTCATTACAATTTCCGCGCTGGCGAGAAAAAACGCGCAAGCTCGCGCTCATAAGAGCCCCAGACCAGAGCAGAGCAGAGAGAAAAAGTTGTTCATGGAAATGCTTCAAATGCTCATTTGAATCTGCCAAGTAATTTTGCTTGCGGTTTGTCGGGGGGTGCGGTGCGGTGCATAGTGTGGAGAAATGTCTCGTTTTCGGCGCTGTTTTAAACGCGCTCCGCCCCAGGCCCCTGGCCCCTCGCAACGCTCTCGGCAATTGACTTTGAATAAGTTTTCGCTGCATTGAAATGATGCCAATTTCTTTGCTCTTGCTTGTTGTTGCTGTTGGCCCACTGTGGCTGTGACAGTCGCTCACATTAATGTAAAGCAGCAGAGAGAGAGAGAAATACACTGAAAAAATAAGCAAAATAAATAAATTCAATGTGGTTAGAGCATCCAACTGCTGGGCTTTTTTTTTTGTTTTGTTTTGCTTGCTTTCATTTGTTATTTGTAATTAATTCTGTAAATTCTTTGCCTGTTTTACGCGGCTTTTCCCCGTATCACGAAACTCCAAGCTCAACCCCCACGGATCCACTTGACTCGAGGAACTTTCTTTAATTTTAATCAAAAAACTTTTGTTCTTGTTGTTCTCTGTTCTGGGTCTGGCTGTTGCTGGCTGTTTGTGGGCGGCCGGGGAAAAAAGCGCGTTTAATTGGCCAAGGGAATACGCACTACAAACAATCAAGCAAACGGTTTTCTAAAGAATGAAAATGAAAACAGAGAGCGAACACAATTCAATCAAACGTAAGGGGGAGCAGAGCAACAAGCCACCAAGATGTGGCAATTGTTGAGTGAAAAACCGAAAAGAAATAAGCGAAATCGAGACAGACAGTTCGACAGTAATGGCTGGCAGGGCAGGGCGTTGCTTCATTTATGAAACACTAAAATCCAGTGGCAAATTTCGACAAAAATCTGTTCTTTGATCCCCGTCCAGCGTACTGGAAAAGGTTCTCTAACAAATAAAACAAAACAAATGCACAGAGACATGACATTTATGCCAACATAAATCAGAGCAATCTGCAGCTGACGGAATTTTCACTTGAATACAATTAGACCAAAGGGAGAGGGATATGGAAAATAGGTTTTGGGGGACGCACAAACTGCCAAATGCACAGGAAAAGGTTGCCTAATAAACAGGCAGGACACAGACAACAAAAAAAAGGAGCAGCAGAGAGCCAGAAGAAAATTCAACAAAACGAAAATTGTTCAGTCAAATGAAAAACTATTTAAATGCAATTGTTGGCCAAGCGTCGATTTGTTCACTGAATATTTTTGTGCGCATGCAGCAGCCGAGGTGGCCGGTCCCCTGAAGGGGCATTGTTTTAGTTGGTTTTGGGGCTGTGGTGCTGTGGGGCTGTGGGGCTGTGGGGCAGTGGCATTACGAAACCAGTTAGCAGATAGTACAATTTCCGCTATCAGCGCCTGTGTA